CATGCTCTCTCAGTGCCTAGGCAGGAGGCTGTCTCAGCCTGTCTCCCTGATAGCCCTTTTGTAAGCCTTCCCCATCTTACAGGACATCCTGTAAATGCAGTACTGCCAGTGCTTCTGCAGCTCCACTACAAAATCTCATTGTGCTACCGTACAGCCAAACAGTGATGGCAGGAGAGAGGGCTTAGTACCAACTGAATCTGGGTTTTGGGCCAACCAACTCAACTGTCCATTGTATTTGCCAGTTTATTTCTTATTAAGTCATTTTTTTGTGACAGTGAAACATTTAAAACATTGCATTATCCTTGTTGCAAGTCTCCCTCACTTTCTCCTCCCTCCCTTCTAAGCCATAATGATATTTTGTTTTGCTAGTTTCTTTGTTGTTCATCTATTGTGCCAGGCTGGAAAATGGTCCTTTTTTATTTTAATAATTGCTCTGGAAATGTTTGTGCTCAAATGGTGCAGTACTTCACCAAAATGAAGTTCTGAAAGCAGAAATGGCATGGATAGAAATTGATGCTACTGGATTAACCTACTCCCTCTGTGAAAGAAGAGTTCTGATCTCTTAAACAGTATCTGCAAAGAATTGACATTTTATGTCAAAGTAAATTAGCCATTGATTACTGCAAAGAAATGACTAGATAATTTCTCTGCAGGTACAGGAATCTGATGCAAAAATGTTTCTGGATAAGGATTGATTTCCAGTTGTGGTTTGGGCACCTATGTGTGCTGTGTTTTGGGAATGAGGTATTTTTTATATTAGCACATTTTACTCTGAGTAGTTCTTTCCTGTCTTGGTGCATACAAAAAATCCTTTTGCCCCTATATAGTGTGCTAGCCTAACAGGGACATGAAAAACTCCCCTTGTTTCCTGTGAGGATCTCAGTTTCTTCTGCAGACGTGAATGAGTAGCTCAGTTTCATTGCACCTTCAGTCTGTCCTTGATCTTTATTCTTGGACTGAAAAATCTGACCAGTTTCTTAGGGCTGATTGTAACTTTTGCAGTATTCACTTCTGCTAGTGTGAAAGGGCAGAGACCTCAAGAATGTTTTACTCTGGGTTTTATTTTTGGTTTTGTTTTGTTTTTTATTTCAGTATTTGCAAGGTGGAGATTTCCTATTGTTGTGTCTGAACCTTTTCATATGTTAGCAAATTCCGTTCTGTTTTTCTAGACAGTGAAGTTTTAGACTTCAAGAAATGTCTGGGTTTACTGGCAGGAGCTGTTTCCAGGGGGGTGATGATACAGCCAGCACAGGAAACACTGAGCTTGTCGCTTGATTTTGGCACTCCCCTTCCAGACTACCATGACCCCTCAGTAAAACCTCGCAAATCCATTTTCATAGTGAATTTATTCATTCTTATGAAGAGCTTGTAAGTGGGCAAGAAGCTATAGCTCTGTAGTTCTTAAGCTTTACTCAGCTAAGTCCCATTTAATAGCTTCAAGGTCATACAGTATCATTGTCTTCAGAGTCACGTAATCCAGAAACTTGGAAGTCTGTGAAGCCAACTAAAGTGGTACCAAAAGGTGATCTGGTAGGGGTGCAGGAAAGCAAAGCTGGAAGAAGGCAACAGTGCAGGACATCTGATGTGGTCTGACACAGGAGACAACCAGAGCATGTGAAAACTCAATTTGCCTTTCATTCCCAGGACCCTAACATAGCAGAGGCACTGCAAATTTGTGGACCCAGATGAGATACTCAGTGATGCAGAAGTTGTTGGCATTGCTGTATCGCTGCAGACTTGCAGATCACAGTGTACTGTGCAAGAAACCAGGGAGGAATAAGGGTAATAGTTTTTGTCACTGGATTTGTAATGGATTTTCCAAAAGCAGTTCCTTCAAGATGATGCTATTGTGATACACAATTGCATTTCTCCTAAGTACTCTAAGTAATGACAAAACTGCATTGTTCCTCTTTTCTGTGCTGTCAGACAGCTGATCAACAAGGCATGATGCTTAATCATGGAATTTCAGAGAACAGTATGTTTTATAGTCAGGATGTCTTGCTTCACAGAAGATAAAAAACTTTATAATTTTCATTTTACAAGTTTTAGATGCCAACCTAACATATTAATTTGCAAACCAAACCCTGGTTTGCAGTTCTCTGGATGTACTCAGTAAAGATAGCAGTGTCTATCAAGAGAAGATACCACAGAGTGGTATTTGCCTATGCCACCCGTAGTTCCAGGGGTTAAGAATGAGGTGTGTGAATATGCTTCCAAATCTGTGTATTTTTTTTTTTCAACGCTTTGTAGTGCAGCAAGCAATCAAAATCTCATTAGTAAGAAGCAAGTCTTGAGGTTTGGTGTTTCAGACTTTCTTTTTTGAAAGAGATTACATTTTCTGTCATGATGTCTTTTAGTGAAGTTCATTTGAGGATCCTGTTCCCTTTATTTGCAGTTCTTGAAAACACAGGGCTGCACCATGAACTCACACGAGTATTAAGTTAGGAGCCACCTTTGTTTTCTTGAATGGAGTCTGCCTGTTTTAGCACTGCTGTGAAAGCACAGTTCCCTCTGTACTTCATTATTGCTGAAGAAGAGGAGGCAGGTTGGGAGTGGGGAGACAGTCCTTTTGTACAGTACAACCTGCTTTCAGCTGGGAGGCTTTTATGAGCCTAACCAGTGGCAGAAAGTCTTTATCATTGTGTACATCATGCTCAGGAGGTACAGAAGCAAGGTGTTTGCCTAAGAGCTGTCCTTTTCCTAGCCAAATTGAGGGATCAGTGAAGTACAAGTAATGAAAATACAGATAGGTGTAGAAGGGGACACATGAAATGGCCATGGGCTTAGGAATTTTTTACTAATACTGTATTTTCTATTTCTTGGAGAACTGATGAAAAATGACTACAGGCATTTATCTTCTATCATCTGTATTAAATGCTTGTTGAATTTTGTGGGTTAAGCTTTTTCTGACATTTGTGTTCTATTTAGAGTACACAGAGCTAACTAAAGGCTGGACAGACTATGGGTGGGGGAGGTTCTTAGTTTTTCTTTTCTGCTTTATTGTGCTCCATAGTAAAATTGTTCATTTTCTCTTCTTTTTGTGTGGCAAACAGGATTCTAAACCTACCTCTGGTTTTGGTTTAGATAGTATTCCTTAAAGTCTCCTTCACCTGTAAATTCTTCTCAAGCTTCATTATGGAAGAGTGGCGGCATTTTAGGATTAAGAAAAGAGAAAAGATTTTAAAAAGAAACTAACAATGACTAGCTGTAAAGTCAGTGCAGTGAAACTGCTGCTCTTATACATGTTTTGAGAAGAACAGAAACAGAGGTCTTTTCAGACCTTAAGTTAGAATTGCAACAGCTCACAAGATATTGATGAGATGTGCTGTTTGAGGATTTTGAGGCTGTTGATGGAGTTTTGCTGAAAATCACTCTTTTCTTTGTCAAGTAGCAAAAGCTTCCTAAAGTCAGAATTTTGAGTTGATGTTGTCTGTACCCTTCATTTGTCAGATACAGAGAAAAAATAGAAAATTAGCAAAACTCTCATTTTTTAAAAGGAAACAGGAATCCTGGGGGTTGTGTTGTTTCTTTGGCTTTGTGAAGGCTATCTTGGAGAGAGGCTAAGTCTCCATTTTCTGTCCTCTTCCGTGAGTATAGTAGTAGGAATTTGGGGCAAGGAGTGGAAAGAATGAAAGGTTACTAGCAAGAACTAAGTAGGAAAGAACAGGGGTCACTGGAAAGCTATATAAAGATGGAAAAAGTGATCCTAGAGCTTGGAAGATGAGACAGCTACATGTGACGTAAAGCATGTGGGGATGTGTTGAAATGTGAAGCAGGCATTTCAAGATGATGCTTTTTAAGAAGCAGGAATAATTTACACAGTGGCATGCAAAGGCTAAGTTTAAATGAACAAGACCAAAAGAAAAAAAAAAAAGACATAACTGAATCAGAAAAGCATGCAGAGCGTAACTTTTCTACAGCACTTATCTGTACTTTCTTGGCTTGGTAAGTGTTGCCTTTGAAAAAATGAACTGGTTGCCAGGAAAGTTACTGGGATTGTCTGTGTAATTACACCATGGCCTTAGTTTGAAAAATACCAGTTAAGTTTGGAGTAATTTCTGGAATGTTTGTTGAATGCTGATTACACTTAGCATGAGTAGATTTCTGCTATGACTTGCGGAATAGGAAGTGGTAAATATGGGGAGCAATAGGTCTCGCTCCAAAATCCTTTCTGTGGTGACTAATTTGTAAGTTGTGTTGTATATGTCTAGCCTGACTGGGGGGAAAAAAACTATGCAGTTTTTTAGTGCAGAATTTTTAATGGTATTTACAGTGTTTCCTGCCCACCCCCACACCTTATTTGTTTGTTAGTTGGTTGGTTTTCTTTGCACGAAAGAACAGAAAAAGAAAATAATAGAATATATATGCAAAAGCTGGGTGGACCTCCATAAACATGATACCTATGGAAATACCTTCATTCTGTTGGATCAGCTGGTCAAACTTTGCATGTCAATTCAATATATTCATGTACTGCAAATCTGTGACTACCTGGAAAAAAGGATGTCATAACATTTTAAGTTGCTTTTCTTAATAAAGAAGACAAGTTCATGTGATCACTGAACTGTAGAACAGCAGTTGTTGAGGGAATAAATGTATCCTAAATTCCAATAAGTGATTCTATGAGCACTCTTTTTTTGGTGGGAGGAAAGGGTGTTCTTTTTTCTTTTATTGGGGGGAAAAGTTAACACAGTTCCAGTGGCTCTACAGGTGACCATATTTCCTTTCAAATCTGGTCATGATCTATGTATTAGCCTTCTTGCTGAATTCACTTTGTGTGGGTTCTAGTTTGTGTGGTCAGGTGACTTTTTTTGCTGTTCTGGACCAAATTCTAATGTGCCCTTTGAAACTTGTGGAAATCTGTTGTGTAAGAATGGTCGTGTGAGAAGTGGGGCTGTACAAACTCAAAGACTGGTATTGCAGCAGCCAAAGAGCTTGGTTGTTGACTGCACATGCAATTCTCTTGTTAACTCTCAACAGGTTTTTTTTTTCCTTCCTAATAGGAGAAAATATCAGCATGACTAGAGTCTGAGGAAGGGCTGCTTTGTTCCTACCAAGAGTTTGCGGGTGCAGAGGAACAGCACAAGCACAACAGGGGCATTTTAAGCAACCATGGATATCCCCACCGATTTGGTGCCGTCCTCCATGATGTCCCAGCCTGAGGTGATTGAGGTGAGTAGGCCACAATGGAACTCTGGCAGGTGAACTGACTGAACCTCTTTCTTATTTCCTCACTGAATCCTAGCTTTTTCTCCTTTCTCATTTCTGAGTGTCAGGGGAATTTTTCCTGAAATATTTTATTAAAGACACAGGTCATTTACTAAGAATGTTGTTATACTTTGACACATGACATTGCTGTGTTATACTGCTATTTGTAAAAGAAAACATATGGCAAAATATGATCTTTATTGGCTGCATGGAGGTGATCACTCTGCTACAGTTTGATTTTTGCTGTGCCTAATAAATACAAAGTAGAAGGCTGTAATATGGATAAATTGGAATAATACCAAAGAAAAAGTCAGGTTTAATGTTCTTATCAAAAAAGTTTTAAGTTAAAAGTAGCAATAAAATTGATAATGAACTTAGAATTACTAACACACTAATCTTGCTTTCATGAATCCAAGTGTGTCTTTCAGACTTCATATTTATAAATACCTAAGGGATTTATTTAGCTCCATGTACTGAACAGCAAGTACTTGTGTATTCTGATAAAGTAAAAACTATAAACTGAAAAGGAGATTTTCATAACAGTGAAAATTTCATCTCAGAAAAGTATTTTCAAAGTCCCCTTGACTTCATAGAGACCCAAGTACCTGTTACAATTTAAAACTTTTCAGGATGTGTATTTTCTGAAGAGGGCCCCACAACTGATTAACAGAATACCTGGTAGGAGGTGGATGGTGAATGCTTGTGTTCCAGGCTGCCTAGGTACTGCCAGACTCTTCTCCCTTTCTGGGGAAAGGCTCTCCCCGACCATCTCTGCACGTGCTCTGCAAGACGTTTGCACTCCTTCAGAGCCTTCTTTATGTATGAGAAATTTGTGTATTTAAGGATTGTTGTTCAGCACAAATGCCTTCTCAAAGGGAAAATAAGATCAGCTATGGTATGAGAAGGAGTGGAAGAAAAGCTGTCACTTGTAAAGGACTTGATGTTAGCACAGTCACCATTCTGTTGTGTTGAATAAATGCACACGTCCTGGGTCTGCAGGCAGTTTTGGCTGAATAAATTCTACCTGGACTTTTATCACTGGGCCAAAGGCTAGAAATGAATAGATGATTCTGATCATTAGCTAATAATCCAGACAGCTCTCCCTCCATGCTTGAATTTCAGAGTCTGTGTTTCAATGAGATTTGTCTTGGGAGCCAAAAAGAAATGGCAACAGGAAGCAAAGGAAAGATTATGGTAGGAAAAAATATCATGTTGTAAAAACACGAATGTAAATGAATAGGCTCAAAATGTAAATGTAAAAATAGGCTCAAAATTGATATCTGTAATTAAAGAGTTACATGCTTGCATGAATTCCCTCAGATTTCAGTAAATCATTGCGGATCTGATGGCTGATACAAGTCTTCAATTGTATGTAGAAGACTGATATGTCCAAAGAATCAGCTGGGAACCATGTGTATATTTCTGAAAATAAGGAAGACCTTTTTAAGAGACAAGAACACAGTGAGGCACATGTTAAGAGAAAACAGTTGGGTGGAAGTACTAAGTTAAAGTGCTTTTCATAATGGGACTACAGGTTTGCCGTTCATGTTTGTGTTGACATACAAATGAATTTTTGGATATAGTTTAGAAAACAGCATTGATTAAATTACTTTTTTTTTCCCCCCAGAGGACATTATTTTGCCTTTTAAAACTGAGCAGATGCTGCAGAAGACATTTAGAGACTAATGTTTTAAGGAAGGATTTTTTTTAAAACTTGGAAGTAACCTTGCATGCTTTTTGCATGAGCTAGATGGCATCTTAGTTACAAAAAGAAGTGTTTTGCTACATTACTTTAAACTTTCTTTCTTTATTTTTAATCTTTTTTTTTTAATATTTTGTCTTTAAACTTTCCTTTGGTTTTGCCAGCATAATTGGCTTTCTTCACATTTAGTCAATTTAGACTCAGAAATAAATATTATCTATTTTGTGTACCCATGTATGTACATGTGCATGTGTGTATACGTTGCACTAATAAATACTCCTCTGCCTATCATCAGTTGTTTCACTGCACTGAGCAAACAAGAACAGATGCTTATTTACCATGGGAGAGCCTTCCAGAGACCTCAGCAGGATGTTTTGCAGTCCAGAGCCCACCCTGACAGGGTTTTTGCTTGAGCGTCAATCCTGCAGATGCTCGTGGTGGCACCACAATAAGGGAAGTTCCTGCTAATGTAGTTGCAAATGGTTCTTTTCCCAAGATTTGTCTTCTGAGTCAGGTGTCAGAAGATTCACCCTTTGAAAAAGTTTTTGAAGATTGCTTCTCAATACCAGGTCTGAAATTGCTATTACTGTCTTAAAATATTCTCGTTGCTAGTGTATCAACATAGGAACTGCCTCTGGTGCTCTCTACAACCCTGTATTGAAGCAATGGGTTTGCCGCAGTCATGTCTCTTCATCCCCTCCCCATGTGGAGACCTATCCAAAGCTCTCATCTTCTTTCCCCGCCCCCCAACATCTTGTTACCAGACACAAGTGGTGACTAAGAGCATAGGCATCTTGATCATGTGTAAAGGTGAAGTCAGGATAGTTTATCTGTCCATACCTGAGATCTGAAATAGAAAATACTTGTGGGACAGCATTCCCAATATGTCAAAGAAGTCAACGAAACAAAAAATTTTCCAAATATGCTTTGAGTTTTTGGCAACAGGCTTTTATTGTAAGGCAATAAATTATCTCAAATAAATCACAATAAATCACAATCTGTGATTTATACAGATTTCTGATTAGATAAGGCATTTTACTCTTAAAGAGAGAGAAATAAAATGTTAACTGACCTTTTTGATTTTGAAGTGAAGATATTTTGTGGTACATGTTATGACTTCATACCTCAGCTATGTATAAGCAAAATGATCTCATAGAAACCTGACTAGTCTGATAATGTAGTAATCAGAAAGTTAAATAATTCTGTAAGAAGCATTAGCATCCCAGAGTGCTTTGCTGTTTGCAAAAAAGAAACATGGCAAGTGCTGATCAGAACTGATGAAAGTACTCTGTGGAGTGATTAGTGTCTTCTCTCTTTGTGAGTGGCATGAGATGAATTCTGCAGTAAAAGCTTTGAAGAAGAAATGATTTGAGCTCCAGTTGCTTAATGAATCAGGGACTTCCAACAGTGCTTCAGAAGTATTTAAACAAGAAAATAACAAAAATTCATCAGTCTTTCTTTGCTTTTGCCAGCAGTGGATCCTACCAGCCAAATACTAGAAGTAAATGAGTACATTTAAATAAATGCCTCGCAGCTGTTCTGAAGAGAAATCCAGAGCACTTTCCATTATAGTGGCCTTTCATGGCCAGAGCCAGAAAACACTTCTTCCACTCTGTGCCACTGAATACTTTCTATTTTCTCCTCTTTTTTTTTGAATTGGAGTGGAAGAGATTTAAACTAGCATTGCCACAGAATGGTCATTCTTTTTATAATATGCTTGAGAATAGACTGCTGTGGGATGGCACAGCTGTTCTGCTATGTTGTTTTCCCTAACAAAGTTCCAATAAGATTTGTGTTTTGGATCTGGTGCCCAAATTTTTGCAGTCAGCAAATGTGCAGATTTCTTTCTCCCCTTTAAGCTGAATAAACAAATAAGCCTCTTTACCAAAGCAGGTCTATGGTGGTGATGAATAAGGTAGATGAGGGAGTGAAAGGAAGCGGTAAGACTGGTAGAAACAGTTTAGAATTAGATTAGAAATACATACCAGGATAGAAGTATATCCACCTGTTTACAGACATCATAGGGGAAACGAAAATACCAGTATGTTTTGGGAGGTTTTTTTATTCTTATACTAGATGAGATTACTGGGGGTGCAAAATGCATCTCAGTTTTGTTTAAGCTGACCAATACTGCCTTATAGGTAGCTGCTCAATACTGTGTGAACAAGTTACTTATAGAAACACCATGGTTGCTAAAGCTCAGAAAGAGAGATTTTTCTACTTTCAGTTCATGTATTTCACAAATATGTCAGTACATCAAAGCAAAGAAACCCACATTGTCTAATGTGAATTTCAGGAAAAAAATGTATTTGCTATGGTAAACACAGGATAGTCTTCTTGTTTCCATTTGTATATCTCAATTTCCAGCCCTAAAAGGAAATTTGCTATGTTGATTAACATAAGCATTTTGCTTTTAGGCTAAAGTCTCCCCAGTGCTCACCTTGCTGGTTTACTTGGTGAGGAGTGATGGAAGGTGTGCCCTGGAGATGGAAGAAGCCCCGATAGCCTACAGCATTTTTTCAGCATAAAATGGCAGTTTTTCAGCTGCTGTAGTCATTAATTAATTCCCAGCTGGGCTTACTGATCACCTAACTGGGCCTGAAGGATGGATGTTGTAAATTATTATGCATGGAAGCTCACTTGGGTTGTTGTAGGTGTAGATTTTTTTATTCCCTCCCATTACTTCCACTCTGGCGTCTGAAGTGCACAGATAAGAGGCTGTGTTCTGCACCTTCCTCCACAAAGCTCTTACTAGGGCTGGGGTCTTTGACAAAGAGCTGTCCTGCACTGCACTCATCCTTACAGCAGCTTTCAGGGACTCACTGATGGTTGGATGTCTGTTTGTGATGTTCAGGTTGAGGGTAATGCAGGTAGGCAGCTGGGGAGTGAACTGGGCAAGATAGTGAAGCCCAGCCAGAATCATGACATAGACTCTTTTTGAAGCCATAAGAGGTGAAATATTTTATTCACTAAATGAGATGAGGCAATATAATTTTCTTCCTTGTCTCCCACAAAGCTGCGAGGGGTTGAGCTTGTACCTGTGTTTGGCTACTGTTTGTGAAGCTCAGCTTGTCATGTAAGCTCCCCCAGAAGGAAATAGATCTTGAAGAGCTTTGCAGAAACCCATTTCTATATTCTGAGTGGGATACTTGAGTGCAAGTAGCCAGTCTGGGGTCAATATGCTTTGCGTGTGGCAAAGCACATTAGCTTATTTTTACAATACCTCCACGTTACAGTGGTGGTCTCTCTTGAGAGAAGCTTG